TCGCTACCAGGATGTTGTGTCGAAGCCCCGCGACTGCTTTCCACCCACTAACGGTAGTGTGAACACGAACGGTCAGGGACAAGTATTCAAGAATTCTTTCGCGCGGGAAATTCACTTCATTATATAGCATAACGCACAAACGGGAAAGCCAGCCAGAGTACGGAACGTGTGCGACTAGTAAAGACAACAAGGACTGAACAGATGAGGAACAATCATGTACACACAAAGAGCGTAAAGTGGGAGTGATATCGTCAGATGATGGCTGCCAGCTAAATGCAAAATCTACAACTCCAAATAGCCAATAGGGAAAGCGAAATGATGCGTTAAAACAAACCTCAGTGCACCAACATATCAAGATGAAAGTCTAGTCATGTACGGCTACATAGGCATGCGAATCTTTTTATTGCTCCTCTAACAGCTTTTCCTTGGTAAGCAGTGCACGTCATGGTGATCACCAAATTCATTTAGGCTACTGGAACTGTCGTTGGCTGCAAGGTCTATGCGAGCAGACAATCCCAAGCGTTCTCAGTCACTGTGGTAATGACGGTAACACATGCTTGATTAATTATCTGTGGGCTAAACGGAGTGAAGTGGCTGACGGCCAGCGGCTTGAATGCGTAAAAGCTTGTCCTGACAGCACAAGCGTTTACCGATTCTTGCAGCTTTGTCAAAATCGGTTGACCAGTAGGCCTGTGCCTCGACCTTGAGGTTGGGTTATAGCGTAGGAACAAGCGTGAAAACCAATACACAGCTATCGGTGGCAAACTAGCGGTAACTGTGGCACAGAACTTCAGGTAGTGGTTACAAAGGACTTGACGGAGAGCCCTGAGAGTGTCCGTTCGGATCAGTGTAAAAGTTTACGTGTATGCCTAGAACGTAAGATGGCTACACTCGTAGGTCTCGACAAAGAATGTGTAAAATAAGTGTACTGGAATAACAATATGATCCACCTTAGCTAGACCCACCAGGTGGTAGACAGTGTGTAAAGCTCGTCGAACCGGTTCGAAGGGGTGTGAGCACAGGCGTATGCAACGACAAGTGGCATGGTTAGTCCTGTTTAAGTGCTAGCCCTGGTAGGGTGCGGCATAATGGCGACGTCACGCTCACCAGATCGTTGCTCCCCACCCTGTAGATATTGTCCAGTGAACGCCGGTTTCATGACTTCGTCATCAGTGAGTTTAAAGAGGAAAGTTAATAGCGAGCAAACTCAGATCACACCGTTGGAGACATTAGAGGTAGACGACAGTTTGTCATGAACCCTCACTCTGCCAGACTACGCGTGTACAGTGCTTTTATAATGTTTACATATTTATCAGGCACACCCTTCATAAGCAGGCAGTCCCAAAGTGCACATCGACCCACCAAATCAAAGGCACCTTCGCTTTCTGGAAACACGAATACAGCAGGTCGTCAATAAATGTAGCGGTGTTCCAACAGCTGATGTGGTCCACGGAACTTGGCTCGTTCCTTGTGAAGCTGACTTTCATGAGTGTGGTGAACGACAAACACGTGCAAGTTAGAATCATTTGGGAGTAGACTGATGCTTCTGTCATGGCCGCATTTGGAACATGAGCATAGGTTGAGAATTTGTACCAAAACGGAGTAGCTCCAGTCTGTTGTCTCCTACCCCCACAGCTTCACTAGTTAGTTGTAAAAATCATCCGCAAGAGATAGTCCGCCGAACTTGAAAAGGGCTGCGCGAAGTCTGTCTGCACCTGCTGCCAAATACAATTTCAACAGTCTGATCCCATGTTCGACTTCCGCGAGGGAGGGCGGATCCAATGGGACGGCCAAGGGAACAGGGCGATCAAAAGCCGATAAGGGAGATGGCAACTCTGGTTGATTAAACTGTTATTCAAAGTGTGCGCCCAAAGGCTACAAGCGCTTTGAGAAGCTGTGGATTGGTTATCCCCTCTCATCGCATATAGTTTTGCTATTACCTGGTCTCCTGCTGCTCATTTCGCATATCAGATGGAATAAGTTACGATGGTTACCAATGGCAGCGGCTGTTTCCACCTCCGACGCCCGATGAGACCACCAGGTTTCGTGGTCTCTCTTCATGCTATCACGCAGTTGTTATCAGAGCTGTTCGTTATTCTTATTGCGTTTGCTCCCAGCCGGAACATGTCGGCGAGCACCTAGAGGTTATAGAGACTGTGTAGAGACCTGATGTTCAGATTGGCACTTTGATTCGTCACACGAAGACAAGCCTGCTGATAGTAGCGTCTGGTGAATGCGCGGCCAGTGATTTTCAACTGTTTTCAGTAGGTATTTATTCAGACTGGATGCTAGTGTACTTTGATGCACATTCAGAATACCCGGCTTCTTCGGTTGGCTGGTGTTTATGCGCCCACGTCATTGCGAACGTCTGTCGAAACGTGCCCGCAGATTAACTCGTACAAGAGCGTGATCGGAATCTACACTTGTGCTCCAAATTGAGCGGTAGTTTTAGACAAGTCTCTTAAATGCTAGCTGATCACAATGTAATCGATTTGTGTCCATGGGTAGTCCGAAGCTAATGGGCGCCAAGTCACTTTCTGCAGGTGAGGTGTCAGAAATTAGTGCTCGCGACAAATAGACGAGCATCTTCACATATGTGTAGAAATCGATTACCGTTATAATAACAGGACAGTACGCCATGTTGGCCGCCCAGATGAAGCTCCTCAGTGGACAATTATCGAGGCTTTGAATGAGCCAGACAACCTGACGGTGTATATCCGGCTGTTGAATGAGATCCAATCGATCAGAGCAGCCTCAAACCTAGGGTCAGAATATGCACACACTGCCTTAGCCGGCGTTTGAAGCTTCATCATCTCCAAACAAACGTAACGAGAAAGAGCCGCCAGTGTTCCTTGTTAGGAATCGCAGGGTAAGCACGGAGCTTAAACCTTACAGACGAGTTTCTGATAAGCAGCGGATATCAATCGATAGGGTCTCCAGTGTTCGGACAAGTGCTGTCTTTTGTCAAATCTTCAACAAAGTGCGCACATTGAGGCAAACCAGTCTTAAGAAGGATCGAGAGCTCAAAATAGAAACGGAAGAATGGACGTTGTCTGCTTTGCTTGAACATGGACTAGTCAACTGGACAGGAGCGACGCCATCCGATTGTTTGTGAGCGGAAACTAGAATACAAGTGCTTATTGAAGCAAGATGCAGAAGAGCAACGAATTGGAGGGTTGAAAACAGGGGGAATAAAATGGAGTTGGAACGGTATAATAAGGAGCAAAAAGTGCAGCGGGGGAGTAAGATGGGAATTCTGGGTAGCAACATCTGCATCCCTATCCAAGCTACTCGAAGCAGCAGATAGGGCGCCGTGGATTATCCTTTGCGACGGCCCAAAACTCAGGGAATGGTTTGAAGCGAAAGTCATTGTATTGCCTGGGCAACATATTGTCAGGTTGCCCAGAGCTAGACAGGAGAGCCATTGTGGTTCCCAACCAAGGCCTTTGGTTCGAAAACTTGACTGCAAGGTAGCGGTGTTTTGGCGTTAGGCTATAGAGTGTCCGTTTTAAGTAGCAATGAGCCACCCTCACTTCAACCCCAAACCTGGAGGGCCAAGATACTGAGTTTGCTGGTCACTAACCACTGATCAACCTGCTATCGGTGGCTCTAAAGGCGCAAAAAGCACCTGCAAGTATAGCTGATTGGTTCATTGAGGCACATAAACCGTCGCGCTACGTCAAATTCCAGTTTCGCCGTCGTCTCTTATCTTCCACACACAGATGTATTCAACCAATAGGCTACGTACGAGTTTTTGTCCACTAACCACAGCATTTACTGGCTGCGTTGATGATAACTGCTTGGTAGCTCCTATTGGAAGACGTTGGCTCCCACCATCGATTACGATTGGAAACGCCTGTGCCATTTGCAAAACTGAAGACAAGTGGTATCACTATTTGGGAAAAGAGCCTTGCTCTGCGGTTATCCATTAATTACATTGGCCTATAAAAGTATAAGTAAACTAGTTCCCAACGAAATTTGTCCCCGCGTTCCATATTCTTATACTGTGCACTATAATAAATGTGCATGTTAATACTTGAGAATATTTGTAGTTCGAAGCGCGGATGACGGTGCTGAGTTGCTCAAACGGTTTGACATAACATGTTTGCAAACTAACAACTATGTGATTTTATCTACTTGTGCATGTCTGTGTTATGCATTGCATCAGAGTGGTACACCATCTCGTTTCCTTTCAGATAACCGACGAATTTACTGGAGATGCTGCGTAAACCGGAAGGCTGAGAGTAGGAATTCTCTGTCCACTGGGCCCCCAACACCAGTGCATGATTAGCAATGGTGAGGGCCACAAGTGTGACATTGTTATTTCAGGATACTCCGTGAAGGTCGTTTTACATTAGCTGAATACGGCAGGCTGGTAGACGTGACAATTCGAGGCATGCAATCAGTTGGGCATGATGCGTGTAAACGTTTAGCGCTAAACCCTTCACCGTCGTCAAATGCACCACATGTTCCCGCGAATCGTGCTTTTGGCTTATCGCCAGATTTCTAATAGCTTTTATTATTCTACCTATGATGTTACCATACAACACAGCAAGCCGCCTTATTAGTAGCGCAAAGGAGCTCTGACTAACCGACACGAGCGTCAGTGGCACAGATAGTAGTTTGGAAACGATAACGACATCTGATACGACTTAAAACTGAAAAGTAGTGTAAAATTATTAAAATCATATTGGCGCCCATTACTGATGAGCACCAGCTGGATGCAGTATAACACTGGGGTGAAAATCGTAGCTTTACTTGTGGCTTTGTTGTGCTCCGGGAAAAAATAAGGTTCTGAATGCCAGGGTTGTATCCGGGCTACGAAGGTTTTCATACTACTCGTTTGCGACATGACACCGTAGCGACTAGGCTTTCATATGAGCTCAGCGTGGATGATAATTTTAGCCAAGCTAGCCAACTTCGATGATCAACAAGTTAGATGATGAGGAGGAAGCAACTTGTACACCCCGTTGTGTGATCCAGAAAGAACAAATAAAACGGAATGCAGTAAATGGCATCATTTTTTCGTCAAGTATGGGATGACAATAGTAATAATAATAAGTAATAAGTAGTAAATTTCTCGATAAAGCGAGGCACAGTCCAACTCAGTGGTCTGATCAAATGGTAAAATATGCCGACTATGGGAAAAACAAATGGGGGATTAGACGTGGCTAAGGCAGAAATAAAGATGCAACTTGTTAAGCAGTGTGTTGGAAAGACAAAGGCTATTGTCATGCTCATTTGGACAGTGGAACCCTATGAATGCTGTTAGACCATGGCCTAATAACGATCACGTGTTACGTAGCATCACTATTGGAATTTTGTGCAAGCCTCGTTTGCACAACTCCACAATATGACTTTTCAGTTGTTCCGCGCATTTTTCGCATACTACGGATGTTGTCACCTCCGGGGATATCTGGAAGCTGCTGGTCAAAGTTGCGTTGCCATCCGTGGAACTCTGGCGAAGATTTTCCGCGGTGGGACGCATATCTATGCTTCCCAGGGCTACGGAAGCAGGTGTTATACTGGCGGCTACCTCTGTAGTGGATTGTGGGACAGCACCGGCTGTACCGTCAAAGAGTTCGGGTGGGAGGGGACGAGACGGTGGTGTGATAGGAGTCAGTCGAATGGTTGTCATTGGTCTGGAGTGCTCCTGACAGTGGTTTGCGGGAATACGCTCCATGCGACTTTCCACACGAGAACAGGAGTGCGTGAAACTGTTTTGGATATCCACTAGACACTTTTCCAACACGGTAACGCGTTTTCTAAAATGTAAAGTCATAATATGTGTATTGAAATGGGTATTTTTGCAACATTGCAAGCACGCAAAGATACTCATAACTGGTAGGAGTGAGAGTGTATGTTGGATTGGACTGGTAAGCAATTCAGTCGTTACGAAGTGGATTGGCCGATCTTATAGGTTACTGCTATTTTTACTAGGGTTCTGCGTAAAATAACAGTCTTAAGTTGGTCCTAACATGTGGATTCTGTTGTTGAGGTGTAGGACAAGGAGTAGCTGCGATTTATAGCTTCCTGAGATGGCATGATAGGCAGCGGCATGGTTATGGAGTGAGATCTGGGACAAAAGAGAAGTATACGAACAGAAGTTCGCCTACGTGGATAAAACGAATCTTTAACCACTGCAAAAACGCATTGCCTTCAGGGCGCTGTTAATTGAATGGCGGATGCGCTAAATTGGTAGCCAACATGTCGACGGCCGAAGCTGAGGCCGATTGTCACCATCTCGAGAGACCAAAAGCGATTTGCAAAGGGGACAAATATGACTGATCACATCCTCCGGTGCATAATGGATTCAGCTTCGAATATAAGGCACTGGCAGATAGTGTTGAACCAAATGCTCCGTGCTTTAACTGCCGCTGTTAGAATACATCAGTAAGCACTGGTGAATGCGGTAGAAGTGAGTTAGTAAACGTTTGCAGGTGTATCGGGTTAACGCACTCAATTCTTGGATGCCGGAACCAAGACCCAAAGGAGTTTGTATGAACTGCAATCCATGCGGTGTTACTTCCTCACAATCCGGTATTTGTGTGGGCCAGAGACTCAATGGTATATTCACGGAAGAGTGCACGTACAACGTCACTTGGTGTCATGGCAGGATGAGATTGGTGCAAGCGGATATGTTCTGAGACAACCAGTTTCGCGCTAACATCACTCGGGAACACAGTAGGAGTCCGCTGGAAGGCGCACCATTGACGATACCCAGAAGGTCGAAAGGCCGGCTTCTGGTGCTTTTCCAGACTAGCCTAAGCCTGCTGATTGTGAGTGACTATGATGAATTCATTGAATTATACAAAAATCCTCACGACGCATCAGTGCTATAAAAAGCTGTCTGTATAGCTTTCAAGTCCTTGTGCCGTGCCGAGACGCTATGCGGAAAGCTCTAGCTCATGAGGCTAGCTACCGTCCTCTGCACAGTTCGTAACTTGCATGGCAGTGGAAGATGAGCAGGGCTATATCATAGTCAACTGTCAATCACGCAGGTCTGCGGCTGTCATCCATGGTGAAGTGGCACTAGCTGCTGGCATCCGGAAGTCATGGGGCGGAACCCGGCAGGGGTCCGCTGGAAGGCGCACCACTGACGAGACCCAGAAGATCGAAACCTAGACGGCTGGTGCTATTCCAGACTAGCCTAAGCCCGTTGATTGAGAGTGACCACGATGAATTAGGCGAATTATACCAAAATCCTCACTAATCATCGGTAACATCAGCAACTGGTAGGCAACACTAAGGATTGCGCGCTGTGACTGACACGCCCGAGACCAACAGTAAAAGCAAAAACTTGTGCAATGTCCTTTCCACAATGTAATCACGTGGTATCAACTCGCCTTGTGTTGGGTAAGCGCATGCAGCCGGATGAGTACTACGCATTGACAAGAAGAACTCGTTTGATGCAGCCCACTGTCCGCAGTCAAATTTCTTGCCTTGGTCAGTATGTACTTAGACTGAACTTCGCGGTAGCTCCTACTAGTCGTTCCAGAATAGTTTACTGGTGGTTTTCTAAAGGTTTACAACGGAGGACCGTGTCAAATCTGGGGGTAGACTTTAGATGCGGTCACGGTCCTTCATTAATTCATGCTCCGCAGTTCAGGCAACGTTCAGTTTCAATAGAATAATGGTGCGCCTGTGATTTCGCCATGCCACCGGTTTTCAGATGCAATCCGGATATTGCATCGGTAACACCACTCTCCGATCAGGACAGTAGGCCAATAGCAATGCATCATTCGTATTCCTCATGGGCCAACCACACACACCCACGTCTGATGTTGATTGGCGGGTGCTCGGCGTCTGCCGGGCAGGTCTGCGTTACAAATCGGGAATGCCATTGATCGGGCACACGCAGCGGGTATAGTGACGAGGACGTACCTGACGTCTAGCCTGCGTTTCCCGATTGGGGATGGAGTTGGCATGCAGCTTTATCTCGCAATTAGGAAAATGGGGCCTAAGCCTCAAACGCGAACCACATGAAACTGAGTGTGCGTACTCCGATAGGAACAGGAGTGATCGCAGTGCGAATACTTCGGCCCGTTAGCGTTGGTGTGTTGATGGATATGTGTTGTTTGGCCTAAAAATGCGCACTCAGAGATTAATTTGTATGGAGATCAACCACCGTCTTATCACAAATCAGCCGACATTTACTATAAACACACCGAATCACAGCCATTCACAGCACAACCAAGTTCCTCCTTGTGACAGCGAAGACGAGCAGCAGCGATTTCAGGTCGCATGCAACTTCATGTACACACACACGCGGGCATGTACAGTTCGATCAGAATGACCAACGCTCATCGGTTAGTGAGGCGCATACACTGCATTGAGTACACATGCCTGTAGCACCATGTCCCAGTGGAGCTCTTAAGCTCTGGTGTGATTGATGGCCTCATGGCTAGCAGGCGTGTTCAAACTAAACGTTGAGAACGTCAGTCTAGCCAGTGTAAGATTAAGATAGAATGTGTGCATGTTGTCCAAACCACCGCTACAATGCGAGCCTAGCAGCGATGGTCAACAGGGACAATGAGAACATTGTGAAAGGGTGATGGCTGATGTACCAGTGTAAATTGCTCTAACACCACACGTGCACGCAAGCCCTGTGTACGCGATTGAGCACCATACGAACTGTGAATTAAGATGTGAGGTTATGCCTGATTTTGACCAAGCTACGTTTGAATAGATATACGGCATCCCATTAACTGATGAAGTGTCTGAAGTGTCCTGATGCAACCTGACTCCGTGTGGTACGGTGACGACCCGGGCACTGAGCCTTTGATGCAGCCTGTATGGTGGCCTTAATGCTCGTCTAGACGCAGCATCATACGCTGTCCAGCGCAACAGTTAATACGAGGCAACTGACAGGTGGGCGAGAAAGCTGATTGCCAACGCGTACCTGTTCGCCACAAAGTGTGCTTGGGACAGACTCCGCGAGGGTGTTGCCACCGCCCAGAAGAAAAATGATGAAATCAAGCGTCAGACATATGTACGTTGCCATGCTCCGAGTAGGCGGATGAAGACTGGCATGCCCGAGCAAGACGGTGAACTGGCCGGACGGAGCGGACAGTCAAGTGTGGAGCATGGGCGTACGAGGAAGACAGGTAGCCAAATCCGTCAGGTGGTGTTTAGAAGATTGGTGAGACCGACCTATAAATACGAGCGTTCTCGGTTCTAATGCAATGGTCGGCTGAGTCTTCTTCAGTTTCCTTCCTGTCGGGTTGGCCAAAGCGTCAAGCAGAGCAGGCGTTAGGGTGCAGATTTACCAGCAGACGTGAACCAACCGGTCGATTGCGGGTACAGAGTTACGCAACACACACACTATACACGTTAGCTAGAAGTGGGAAACACCTCAGCTACTGTGCCGCAATACCTAAAAGAAAAAAGGGAATAAAATGCAACAGGTGCAAGCCAGCTGAGCTACCGGTAACGGATGGGTATCGTTCCGGTAAGCTACCTGCCGGCTACTATGCAACAGAAAAAAAGATAATTTACTATGCAAAATTATAAAATGCTAAATAATGAGATCATGGTTGGAGGGGGAGGCTAAGAGGGATGGGGTGGGACAAAGAAACTCACAGCACGAACGCCACTGAGGTCGGCTCCTAGCCATATCAACAAGTGTATCCAGCCAAACGTGTTCATCGTCTTTCGGACACTAACCAGGGAGCCGAGACGCGCCAACTGAGGCCAACTTCGAAGTGAGGGTCTTCATTCATCGCTTGGCCACCTCTGCTTTTGTTCCATCCAGACCCCCGGCGCGCAAACGACGCGCGTCGCGGGAACCGGTGGGCTGGCATGCGTAACACGTGGCCGAGCCATCGGAGCCTGGTGCGTGAAATAACAGTGCTGAGCGGTTCATTGCCTTTTCTTGTGCAGTAAACAAGGCGTCGAACACGCTCGTTGCTCACGCGGTGTTCGCACCATATGTGAGCTAAATTGCGAAGGCACCAGTGGTCAAACGCAACTAGCCTCTTTATGTCCTCTGATCGAAATCCGCTAATCCGCTAATCGAAATCAAGTGACCGTGCTTGCGATTGTGGTGAGTACTCGATATCATTGAGCCACCGCACATTTTACGCCTCCTGATATGAATGTTGTTGCAGTCGAACATAGCTGAAGTATGCGCGCAGGGTTTTGAGTTTCCGGCAATTTCTCTCACTCCTAATTTATTGTCCGATAATTAACAGATATGCATATTTATATGTATATTCTTTAACCAACCTTCGCAGTCTTCCATTGTCTCGCGAGTTTGTCGGACATGTGGAGTGAATCTACGAGGCTAACCTTGCAAATAATTGAAATTGTTCACAGCATCGTTGTCCACCGGCTAAATTCCGCTTTCTGCTTACCCAACATCAGTAGTCACCCAGCTAACCCCTAATAGAATGGTGTTGTAGCTGGACGGCGCGCCTTTTTTCTGTGAACCCAACCATATGCTCCACATGGCGGTAAGGTACATGACAGTGAAGGATGAGAAGCGCTTAGTCGCATGGAATGTCGTCATTGTGAGTGACAAAATTCGCCTAGAAGGTTCGAGTATCGCACTTTCACTGCGTCAAATTAGCAACGCCGTGATAGATAACCGGACTAGTTACAAACAGATAAGTAAGTGTTTACGATACTTACCTCAACAAATACACTTTCAGTTAAAATAAGTTGCACTAACAAGCAAATCGGACCGAGAGTCATCAAGCTGGACGTTTAGAAACAGGGATACAAAGCGACGGCACCACAATGACAGCGTTCTTATAAGACAAGCGGAATGGCGGGATGGGTTAAGGATACGGACACAGCGCGCGTTGCGTGAACATTGAAGTGAAATGAGGTCAATTTGTCTGAAGCACTGCGCAATCTAGTCCCAGATCCACTTGTGGGGAAGAAGGAGTAGGCTGACACTGGCGATCGGTGGAGAAGGCGGGGTAAACAGAAATAATTATTGTTACGGGATAGGATGTAGAGTCACGTGTTTGGTGGTTACGGAAACGCGCAGTGAAGTGGGCTGCAGGAATGGTCAGTGCATATCGATTCATAGAAAAGTGCGCGCGAGGAATAGAGAGGTAAGCATACAGCTGCGGAAAGGAAGGGGAAAACAGCATGGGAAATTGGCTTGACGAATATAAACACATGGTGGATTTGGCAAGTTTGGACAGAGAAAATAAACATAGTATGAATCCGTAGTCGCGGTATTCGAAAATCTATCGCTATCAGCGGATTGCTACCAGACGAGTGGTCGCAGACTCTATTCCCGGCTGGTTCGTTGGGGTGAGACGCTCGTCCGGTGTTTTCACCACCACAAGAAGACACTGGGCTCATATCTATCTGTTACGTGACGCTCAGAATGCTTCATTAATGTGCCTGAGTGATTTGAGCACCAGGTGTCAAGGGATATAAACGCGTGTAACATCCTGTATCATGTCTACATTGGAAGATGAAAATATGCGAACCACAAATGTGAAGAAGACTGATCAGAACCCTTGCCACATAGCCACAGATGCCATGAATGGTTGGGACGAACTCAAAGCCTTTTGACTGCGATGACGAGTGCAATGAAACTCACTGCGATAACGCTTGTTATTTGACGGTATCCGTATTCGGATTTGCCTGTCACTGCGGCCTCCATGAAGACAGTCACAAGACGCCTGCGCCTACACAGGGATTATGGGTGGCTTGCCTCACACCACTCACTGTTCCATCCATGCATTCAATATCCAGTGTAAACCCGAATGTATAAGACCGGGAGACATGTGGATGGGAGCCACGTTTCATCAGCAGAGCCGGTCCACAGTCCTTCAACATGTACAGCAGCAGCATTCCTATCTATGTAGGGAATCATGCGTACCAGACGTGCACAATGCGGTGGCTGGGCCGTAGACCGCTCCACACTGGATGCGTGAAACCACTCACTGAGCTTGGCACGGTCACGAAGACTGTGCTGCACTCCGTCTCCCCAAGCAACGATCAACTGTCTCCTGGAACCAGTATAATCGAGGTAGCGGTTCTTTGACATGCAGGCACCTAGTCAACATTCACATCAAGCGCAACCACACCGGGGATTTCAAACAACTAACACAGAATTCGAAGGAAAATATAAAAAAACGGTAAACTGACAAAGAATATACCGGTAGAATAAGAGAACTCAGCAACGTAAATATAGCGGAATACTTTTTATCCAGGTTAAGAAGATATGGCTTAAGTGTAAATGTAGGTTGGTGTAGCTCAACTGCGGTGAAACATTCTTTCCTGACAGTTGGTTGCAACTTCAGTTGTGCGAGTAAAAGTTTTCAAGCAGTGTGACTTGTTTTTACTACTCAGCGGGTTATAACAACCTCAGCTTGAAGCATAATGACATAACAATTCGTTAGCTCAGTTACAATCAACTGATGGGCAAGTTGATGGTGGTCAACGTATAGTATTAGTTGACAAGTATGTATATCGGTGTGGGGGCCAGTTGGAGACCCTTTGCATACAGAAAAATGAAGAGTGCACGGCTATCTGAAGTGGCCCGATCGACATTACCAACACGTGTTTGGCGATAATTGGGACCAAGTGAACAGCTCTCTTGATAGAAGTAAAGTTCACTCTCATAGAGCAGAGGCAAGAAAGATGTGCCTTCTGACCTCGCCCCCCCCTTGCATTGGATGGGCCTGGTCGTTTGCTGATACTGTGGCAGACGCAACAGATGAGGTGCATCTCAGACTCGGTTCAGTTGTACGACTGCTATATGAATAACACTTATTCCCGATTGATCTGCCAGGTTTGAGTATGCAGAATAGGAAGGCTGACAAGGCGCATCCTCACTGAATACCCATAACCAGAACACTAGCCCTAGATGTCTGATATTTGTAGAGGGCGGAGATAATGGACACTCTTCTTACACACGTTTCCCACAATTTTATGAAAGTGACCCGTAAGCGCCGATCTTACCATAACCATATGCACACAATGTATTCACGTTTTAACGGTGCAATGTGTCTACAGTTCATGAGCCTAAGTATGATACAGTTACAGTTACGCGTACGGTTGTAACGAGTGTCAATGGGGTGTGAGCCAGATCGGAACCAATCGTGATTTCAGTCGATATGTGACACCCGTTTTACTCCAGCATGTAGGGGGTGCGGTTGCGGATGTGGAATGTGTCAATTGTCTACGTAGGTGCAGATATCCCGATATTGTTCGTGTCCACGTCGACAGACGACTCAGGAAACCGATATCACGCGCACAGTTGCTGATGTGATAACATGCTACACAGCTGCTGCGACAAATCAACCACATGGTACCGGATGACAGTACGCATTGGTGGGGAGCCGGCATTTTGCCACTACAGATACGTCACTCAAGAAACCGGAATAAGGCATCAACAGTACGCCGGTACGTAGTACCTTACGCTTCGCTGCCGCGCAACCACCACCGGTCGCACGTGGGCAAGGGTTGACCTGCCCCTACGCAGGCTGGAACCCGCGCCGCAAGATTACGAGACAAGTACGTTACCTCTAGGCTACGGGCCGGCCTAAGAAGGACGGGGTCGCAAATTCCTGGCGAGTGACCAATTACACAAGCCGTTTTACCGCATGCATGTATACCTTACCACTTTAAGTTCGAGCCAGATGATCAGGACATGTAAGTGTGAAGCAGTGGCGTAGGAACTACTTTTGTCGCCCGTGGCGGTGGCAAAATTTTCGCCGTGAATAAAATGAAAAAGGTGCGTGAAGGTCACGCAATTGGCTCGGGGTACAGTGCACATTAGTTTTCGATGAAATGGATGATCGTTTGGGCCACAGGTGAATGTGGTGAAAGTAATCACAATGGGGCAATTAAGGGGATAGCTGAGAAGAATGTTTGCACAGGTGACGCATGGCCCAATGGTGCGGTTGGTCATATAGAGTAACATTAAAATATTCAACCCTCAGATTATTTGAAAAATTAGCCCTTTAATTTTGCTATCGAACATTCAACGTTACTTGAAATGCCGCTCCCTGTCACATGCAGTCCGGGGGGGACCGTTCTCCACCCCCCTGTCCCACTTTGCTGCGCCTCTGGTGTGAAGCCTAAGAACAATCTTCTTGCGCTGATGCGATGTGGACACTTGGGGGTCCACCTCCGTGGAACGAGCTAGAATCAGATAAGGAGAGCAGGTGATTTGATTGAACGGACCCGATACGTGACTGATTGTTGGAGAGCCGACCATGCTAGCTGACCTCAGCTGCACTGGATGAATGGACAAGGTTGGGTCGGTGTGGCCAGCATGAACAAAGGACAGCGTTTCTGTTGTCAACTATGGTGTGGAGGGGGGGGGCTGATTCGCCCGGACAATAGTGAGCGAACAGCACGAATGAGTTAGCGATGGCAGGCGGTTACCAGGGGGAATGGGACCGATGTAGAGCCTGTGGGTGCAAGGCCCATCAAGTGCCATAGGCGGAATCGGAACAGAATTGTACACGCTGGAAGGACAACATACAATTGGTACGGCCTAGCGTGAACAACGGTCAATTTGGCCCTGAACTGCGCAGGTGTGAGTTTAATTGAACGCAGAGAAAGAACGACGCACGCGGCTGAATGATCTTAAGGAGAGGACAGGACGAAAAACGAAAGCTAGCTAGTGAACAGTAGCGACAATGAAATAGCGCTTAAAATTTATGAACAGGATTGTAAGTCGTCAGACAGTGGTGACAGTTAGGGGTGATAGAAATGGTCGCAGGATATGAAGCGGCGGTAGAAATCGGGTAGGGGAACTCGTCGATGGTAGGTAACTGTAAGCATTCACAAGTTGGTGGGGAGCTGCTCTTCCGACTGATAGATCATGGGCATCTGTCCGTCACCATGACAACGATCCTAGGAGTATTACACCGGGGATACTTACGGCATCTATTGATTATTAGAAAAATTGCTAGTTGTTGTAGACGATTGCTTCGATGGAACTGAATCGAGAAATTCCAATGGCTTAGATGGCTACTGAACTCAAAGAGACCAGAAATTTCAACAAACTACAGTTATTCTTTCTCATCTGGTAAGAAACATGAATGTGCTATTTGCAGACCAGTAGTAAAGTGCCGTCATACAATCTCCCAGTCATGCCCGGGCATGTGGCAAGCATATGGATATAAGGATTTCGGACATACTTACTGTAAAATTTCATTCCGAAGCTCGACGCTTAGTGAGCACTCTTGAAACACCTTGTTTAAGCGCTCCAAATCCAACCGAGCACAGGATTCCAACGCAGCTTGCCGCAGTCTCGTCAGGTTGTATAAATCAGCCACCTGAAGACACATTGGAGCACTGCTATCCGTCAGGCGAAATGTGAGGATGCGTTCTGCCATAGTAACCATTGTGTCGATCTGGTACCGATGTAAGATAGGTAATAGCTTTTGGGCGGACTCCACTGTTAGAATTGAGAGTATAAGGTAGGTGTATTTCAGTACGTACATAGGGATGAAAATTTCATTCATGAATGTTACGGTATAGAGTGACCCACAGAATGTATAAAAGTCAGTACGGTAGCTTCGGAGTGGAACTGAACTCTCAACCTCTGAGTTCACATAGCACATCTAAGTGGTCTAGCGCTCAAGACGCCAGCCGGGATGCACTCCTAGCTCCGGCTAACTCTCAGAATGAATCCAAACAGGAAAAAATCGGTTGTGGAGTGGAGTGTCGGGAGCAAGCAACATCGAATTCTCTCTAGCTTCACAGTATCTAGAAACTTAGGTTCACATCAGCAGAATGAGCGAAGTAGGGGAGTGGAACGTTCTGCAAAATCGTTAAAAAAGCCAGCCGCATATATCCAAAGAACCTCATACAAGTGGCGAGAAGGCCAGGTAAACGGGAACGACACAAAGCCAGTAGAAGGAAAGCCAATCAAGAATCTCCCAAGTCTGTCAACGAGGCGACGATAATTGCTTGGGACAGACCGATTACCCGGCACTGGTTCAGCTTGATGTGTAAAGGTTCGCATCTAACGACACAATGAAATTTCCAATGACAGAGTGAAAAGTTAGCATATTCTAATAAGCACTAGCTGATGAGGTAGGAGGATACAGGAACGAGCCGTTGAGGATGAACATTCGTCGTAAGGCACTCCGAACGTCGGCACATTACAAATAACTCTTCGGTTCGTGAACATCAAATGTTGCATTAGTACTGACTATTCGAAACATAAATAAACAAATAAAAACATGAATAAGTGTTTCTTGACAAAAGGGAGGCGTTTCTAGCACGATAAATATCTATCTGCAGTTACGTTTTGCATTTTCATTAGTATAGGACCCATTATATAACAAAGTGGATTGTGATAAATGGACAGTCCAGTTTCAGTACAAGTTCCAACGGATTTGTGTTCTGCCCTGTGTAATCATCCGCACCATTGACACAACAAGATCAGATGGGTACAAAGCACGGTAGCACTAAAGCATCGTTTTGTACCATTGACGCAACCGAGGTGGGTGTTGTCATCGTCGATCTTAGTTCACGAGTCCTCCAACACCAAACACATTATCGGAATCGAAAGATTTAGTGATGTGTGCAAGCCATGCACTCTTGGTTCAAGGTAACTGTTTGCAAAGATGACTGGGTAAATACTTCGAACCACGCATGGCAATGTTGAGGTCGTCATAAGACCAACCATATCACCCCATCATTGGGTATTCCTCGGAGGCTACAAAGTTCCAGGCTCAACTTCGGTTCCGTTATCTCCACCTGAAGAGTCCAGTCAACAACGTAAGCAGCCGTGAAGCATAGCGTCAGTACATACGAAAATACGAAAATGGTCAACATTTCAAATGCAGTCATCCTGATAGTAATGACTGACGTTTACTTCATACTTCATACTGAATCGTGATTGAGATTGCGACCTTTTATCGCAATCCATAAGCATAATGCGTACTACAAAGCCAAATAAAAGTCTCCGTATATGTGTGTAAATGTGTTACCGTGGATCGCGATGATTGAATGGTGAATGTATCTGACAATGATCAGGAGATCAAGTGTTAACTACCTCGTTCATGCAATCGATGTCTGAACAGCATCAACAGGGACAAAGTCGATCGTGGAGTGGAATGGTAGAAGCGGGGGGACACTACGAAATATCTTGTTTGTGCTAGGGTTGCAGTACTCTAGGTGAGTACCAGTCACCAAGCAGTGCAACGTGTTCTCAGCCGGGGCCGCATGACATGGACACATTCCATAGGAAATAACTCCGGGAGGCGAAATGAAGCTGGGACGAAGTAGTTTAAGTGTTCTGAGATAAACACCTCAGCGAAGTACGAATGGCGAACACGGACTACGTGGAATTATTTTAGTTAACCTCGGCCATAGAACACCGGCTACTCATTGGCAACGGTCACATCTGGGTCCTAGATCTATTCGTGAAGCTTGCATTCTTCGATTCGGTGACTCTTTCGACTGCGAGTAGACCATAGAACCAAAAAGAAGAAACAGTCCACCCATATTCTCTCTGTTAAGCAAGCAGTCGAAGCAGATGGGCAACGATCAGCAACAGGCAGAGATCGCTTACATCCTTCTTCATGCATTTCGTCACGGATGGAATTTGGCGACTAGGACATAGCGTCATTTCCTACTGCTTGACAAACAGCTTGAATCCTCAAACTATGGCAAACACCAACAAGTTGTCTGCAATCATAGCGAAACACTCACTTGACATTTCACGTCCTCCGGGAGTGTACATGTGCAGTAGAATTTCCTTCACGTCATCGTACGAATCCCCGGGGATGATAACCTCGTTCTTTTGATTTTCCTTAGGAATAAATGAATTAACAAAATCATAAATTGAACAAATTTGGAGCAATGAGGTAAACTAAGCATGGAGTGTTGCCAGCGTTTTGTCGAAAAACCATTACTAGATGCTCACCACTCCGAACAGCCAGTAGGTTACTCCACACAAAAATGAAGTCAGCTCTAAAAACTTTATCTACTTCCCTCAGTTCATATGACTGTTCCATCGATGGAACTGCGAAAATCCACCCCATTTGCAAGCAAACATTCTGGCAGCCAAGTATCAACGAGTGCTAAAACGGGAAACGAATAACGCTTGAAGTTTATTCAGAGAAATTGCGTGCTAACTGTGACATTTGGCATGCGGTTCCACTGAACGCCAGTATTCACATACGTGGTTACGTACTACTTGCTACTGAAGATGTCACTTCGAGTAGTGATGAAATGTCTGAAACCGAGTTGCACGGTTTGTGGACAAGGCAGCCTATAAACAACCAATTCAACTCGCCATTATTTCTAGGTACACCCCTAACAGTGTATCAGTGCGACTTGTACGGAACCGCAGGATGCACATTACTGACAGGCCCCAATGGGACAAAACAGCCGTATAGTTTATTTTCGGATGCGTGGAAAATGTCTGAAAGTTGATTTGGAAAAACCCTCTGTGAATTTCACTGTTTTGTATGTGTATGTGGGGGGGGGGGCAAAGGGGAAGCGATATGCTGAGTGACGAAATGAGTTTTACCACGCCGCATTTCTTTCTAACCACTCCACGGATTGTTTACAGAAGTCATGCTATGCCACTGGCAGTCGCCATCGGTCGGAATGCACCCTGACTGTTCTTGAGCCAACGACGTCTAACTGCACGAATGAGACAATTTGATAAGGTTGGTGCAAGCGGGTTGCTGAACTTAACAATATCAACCGCATCCACCTTTCGTGAAGGAGTTCTTCGTATCACAGAGGTCAGTTGGCTTCATAAACCCAGGTAAGCCGACATGAGCATCATACAGTCAATAAATTTCGTAGTTGGAGGACTCTTTTGTAAGATACCGCTTGTAACAGCACGTGTGCAAGTTGAGAGGTTGCAATGAAGCGCTGCTATCACGAAAACCAGTAAAATGGACAAAATGCGCTTGGAACGTTCGGATAACGCGTTTCTATCGCGATGAAATCAACAGCCAATGGGGAACTGGATAACGGCGCCATTTACAAACAAATAAGTAGGCAAAAAGAATACACACACCGACAATGAGGCTTCCAACACGAGGACATTTTCACTATCCCAAACACGGCTTGAATCATTCAAACTCATTGTGTGACTCACTCTAGAGTATTACACCATCCTACGTAGTCACTTGCGTGAAACTCATAGAGTTGGTTTGGAAAATGTCCAGCGCTTATTTAGTAAAAAGCTCATGGGGGCGCTCATCATCGCTTACCTATGAGGAGTGATGTTCTCACCTCCAGTTCGATTCACTTTGGTTTCGACGGCTGAAAACCAATCTCACTCTTCTTTACAGCATAATATACTCGCGAGTTTGCGCAACCAGTAGGACCGTCACATTACACAGTGCCTCAACTTATCCCACTCGTAATGGAAAATGTCTACTATCCTTACAGAGAACTAAGAAAAAATCCGCTTAAAATTCTTTTTGGTGAGGTACGCCCATCTGTGGAATAAACACCCGTTGTAATTGAGGATCTGCGACAGCCTGTGCAATTTTAAAACCAATGTAAAAGCTTTCTTCCCATGCCAGATGTGCTCAGACTTTTCAACCTTCAACAATCCACGATGGCGTTCATGGAATCTGACCCGAACAACATGGTTGGCGGCATCCGGTTTCCGATTTGCCTGTCACTGTGGCAAGCCACAGAACGCCTGCGCCTACAGAGGGACCATGGATGGCTTGCGCTGCACCACCCACAGCTCCGACCACATACCCCATATCCAGTGTAAACCCGAAGGAATAAGACCGGGAGGCATGCGGATGGGAACCCGCATAGTAACTGACAAATAATGTTGAGTTGTCCCATAGACAACAAAACATTGCATAACTCTTCCACATTGTATGGAGTTTACACATGGAATAATAACGAAACTCGCTGTACAAATGATCGTTCCACAAAAGGGAACGTATCCCGCTCGTCGGGAAATATCCGCATTTATTTATTATTTATTTATTTAAATCACCTAATCGTCAGCCCTCGGTAGCTCAAGTGGTAGAGCAACGGACCGGAAATTCGTGGACCGGGGTTCGACTCCCCGTCGAGGCATATTATTGTGCGTGAATTTTAATCATGGCTTCTACTTTCTTCGAACTTCACACTACTCACAAACATCCACCATTATTTAAATCACCTACGTTGGCAAGCGATTCGGTTCGAGAGCCAACAAGCTAGGCTTCAGAGTGACCGGGGTAAATTTTACGTTCTTATGAGACATCCGAAACGATAGGATTGGTTACTTAGACGAATAAAACGAGGGTGGGGGGGGAAAGCACTGAGGTGGAGTGAGGTCAGTCTGTTTGTCGCAATCAGCAATGGGGTCACAAACGAAAAGGTGCAGTGGTGCAGGGGTAGACAGATGACCTTACTCGGTGCAGGACAAAGGGGTAGACACAAGTAGGGGTCATTAAAGGATGAAGTGAACTAGGTATGAATTTAATAGAAAAATAGACCCAACCCGGGGTGATAATCATGTTGGTGAGCGAAGGATGGAGAACAAAGGTTTTGAGATTGACTTTGTTGTAGGACGGGCTTGATAGATTTGGACAGCGAAAACAAAAGTAGGGAATTTGTAACCGCAGCATTCATATATCTTCTATAAGCTGAAAGTAGCGTCATTGAATCCAGCTACTGGATACACTCTATCCGTTTTAGTGGCTTGACTCTACCCTGGCATTCATATCCATACAATTCCAGAGCCAGCGTTGTTGATGCACTGTGTTAGGTGTTTGAGCGGTGTGACATCGTGGGTGAGAACTCACAACAGGAAAACTACCAGGCTCGTGGGAGGGACCACGTGCCGAGCGTTTGCAGCTGCCGGTTGAAGGCAAATGAATTCCGATTTCTACGCAATGAAAGAAGATGAAATTTTTGAGGCACACCATGTTCCAATAGAGCTACGACGATGACAGTACACCAGAAAACAAACAATGCATTGGCATTAACTGAAGAAGTAGATCAGTACTCGACAGATCATTACTACACAACCTTGTCTGAAAATGGCTTCTCCAGATTTGTGTCATGCGTGATTTCTTCACAAATCGCACAAACGTCAAGCAAGCTATGCTGCAGAAAGCCTTCGGAACTCCCAACCAGTTGTGGTTTTTTGCAGGGAGCGATGCTAACCCCTTTCTTTTCTCCGCCCACGTGGAAAGTCTCCTTATTGGATGAGACTTCATAGGTTGTAAATATACTGATGCTGTAGTCCTGGGTTGCATAACTCCAATCACCGAGGACTCGTTGAAACTCCAAGTAGAGTTAAGTGAACTAGTGACAGTCTAGCGCTCAATTCTTCCAAGTGTTGTGAAGTAACGTTCTGTTTTCTACATCCTAACAGATTGTAGTCCCTTGCACATACTCCCCTCTCATGACTGTGAAAGACAAAAGCACACATGGTTCCACTACCTAAAATATCTTGGTCATCCTCTCGCACAATTTATCTTGGTCTCTGGTTAGGCTCTCAGGCTCAAAGTACTTTCCGTTCCCCGTACTTTAATTCCAAGGTTTGTAACAACTGCATATATTCTATCCCAGTTATGTTCCCCTAACCTTTTTTAAAGGACTATATTCTTATCCGTTCGCTAAAAGTTATTTCTCCCTGTAGTTGATTAAGGAAAGAAATGATCATTGATTTTGTTGCTAACAAACATTTTCATGCATACATCAACTTTTCATCCAGGATATTAAACGACCCCTCTTACTCTTTGCATACTCTCCTAGCCAATACAATATTTGCTTCTTCTACACGGTCAAGTGTTAGCTATATATTCTCGTACCTCGACCTATCGGAACTCCATTCTGTCGTATCCTTAACGTTTACGAGTCGACTCATCGGAAATGAAACACCGATTACGTGACTGTATGCTTGATCGATGATGCAAGCTTTTTCCTTTACGGCTGTCAAACTTCACTCTCTCACTTATGCTCCATTGTACTACACTCCACAGCGTTAGTGCGAAAATGCTGGAAATACGCCCAGATGGGTGGATAAAGCACATACGGACTTGACTTGACATGGTAAATAACGGAGGCGAGCTATATTTTCATTCTAAACCGGCGCATAATCTGACCAGAATAGGCAAGGCTCCCAAAACAAAAAGTAGACGAAGGGGTTGTGCGGCTCTGCGTGATGCCGGTTGTGTTAATGGCTGAAACCGATGGTGAGTGGAGACGCTATGATACCGGTAGGCAGATGGCCAAACGAACACCCCGAAGCATTTCACGGAGTACCAAACAGATGCAAGTTATCCCAAATGAAAGTGAGCATGTCATCGGAAGCGGATTGGTCAGCCGAGCAGCGAGTAGTCGCCGCACGTCCACATCGAGCTCCGCGAGGACAGCCTGCCAACTGGACAAATATCCACTGAGTGTGGTGATCAACCGCGCGCCAGCTGATCCCAGATGCGTAGGACCAATTCCGTCTGGCAAATAAGCACGCCAAGTAGAGGAAGATTCTAACGACACAGGAGAAATAATCCACTGCCTGGGTGACATCGTGAGTAAGTAGAACACTTGCAAAGAGATGAAGCTTTTTGCGGTGTTGTTCCGAGTGTGAGAAGCATGTGAACCCAAATGTTTAAACCAGTAGGAGACAGATCAGGGGAGAAAATATCCCAAATGGTGGACCGGGTTGTCTACATATGTCTTTGGAAATACGAGGGTTAACTTCAAGATCTTTACCGAGATACGACGATCCAGGTAAGTTTATTCAACCCTTCTATGCAGGTCTCACGGAGGGGCAAGGAAGCAAAGGTCGAAGAAAGGAAGGCTTCCAAACGTAAAGGAGGGATTGAG